CAGGGGTTTTAAGTCCAGTTGGCACAGATACATAAAATCAAGCAGCTAGCCATGCAGCGTGATCAAGTGTAAGTGGTATTATTGCAAACTGGAAATGTTTAGGAAGTATAGCAACTCAGCCATGAAGTGCCAGACCATGTAAAGTTGCAGAGTTCATAAAAATCTCCAGCTCTCTGCTGACTCAGTTACTGCAGAGCTCTAAACCTCCTCTGGCATCAACATCAGTACAAAAATGGTGTGCATGGAGCTTTGTGGCTCATGGGTTCCTGTGGCTGAGCAGCTCCTGTAAACATAATGTGTAGGCGGCGGCGTACTTTATGCCCACGTTTTAGAGATCTATACTAGCTTATAGAAAAGATACTGTATGTGACAATACAATCAAATAATACCAGTGTGCCCTTGTAGAATAATAAAGTAATAAGTATTAAGTCAATATAGGTCCTTTATTGAATCGTAAAGAAAAGTAATCTATGTATCTAAAGAAAAACAACGTTGTTTAAGAGTTTGTGTTTACCATGTGGCATGAGAAATTTCCAAAAAGATTATTAAGTGAAGACATTTAATGTTTACTCTTTGATAATAACAACAGAGTAAAATCACTGACCTGCAGGCACTGTTCTCCCATCACAAAAGGTTACAGTTTTGGTGGTTTTTCTGGCAATTCCTGGTACAGGGGGGTAAAGGCGGAGAGCTTCTTTTATGCACATTGTAGTGTATGGGATTTTACTGAGATCCTCCCTTAAAATGAGACCAACATGCAGTGTTAGTGAAGCCAACTAATAAGAAATCTTGTTTATATGTCTCCTAATAACGTTTTGGTACCACAGAATGGCACCAACTTGTCTCCCTATTGCAATGTTGTCCTTTCACAAGCCTACCACTCCATGGTTTCCTTGTCATGCAAGGCCTCCATAATCTCCTTCCTGCAAATCTTCTGATGTTCTGGGTTGCAGGCCAGACAGTAGAGGATGAAAGACAGGCCACTGGCTGTGGTGTCATGGCCCTCAAACATGAAGGTGTCCACTTCTGCCCGCATATCTTCATCTGACAGACCCTGCTGGTTCTCATCCTGGCGTTGAAATAAAGGATATTTACAGTTGATGAAAGACAGAATGGACTGCACTATACTCTAACTGGGCTTCTCAATAAAAGTGCTTTGTTACTTTTGCTGCTCAGGCTCATTATATTACTGCATCACCCGACTTCAACTCAGCTTTAGCTGGATAACATTCATCCTTATACAGATACCTTTATAAAATTGGGAATTTATTCAGCAGCCAAGTATCAAGGTCCGCTGTTCTTCTTAAACCATATAAAGCACTAATTGTGTCACAGGCTGGGTCTCCGACCCAGCGCTCTGAGTTCTTTTTGTATTTTTCTCATTTTTGATATGTGATTAGGTTTTGTGTTATTTCTTATTTGCCTTTAGTTTGGGCAGTTATTGGTTATTGTTCCTGGGTTTTCTATGTTTTGGGGTTTTGTATTATTCATCACGTATTAGGTCTGTTAAGTTTGTGTTGTCATGTTTAGTTTTAGTGTTTCCTGTTTTATTCTGACAGTGTCATGTGTTCTTTGTTCATTGTATTTAACTTTCCTCTCCTGGTCCTGTCATTAGGTTTATGTCAGTCAGCTGTTCCCCCATGTGTCTCCACTTCCCCTGATCACCTCTTGTATGTATTTAAGCCCTTTGTTTTCTGCATGCCATTGTCGGGTCGTCTGTTTATTCTGCCATAGTTCTAGCCTGGTTCTGTTTATTTTGACCTCAGTCTTAGTTATGGTTTTCGTCTGTTATTCATCATTAGTCTTAGTCATAGTATTTGCTGGTTATTTTCCATCACAGTCATAGTTTAGGTTTTGGTCTCAGTACCGTTTAGTGTTTTGTTTCTTAGTGTTTTGTCAGTTTACTTTGGTTTCCTGGTTTACTCCTGCCGTCATCTAATAAAGGATCACTTTTCTGCTCAAACTTTCAACTACTCGTCATCATCTGCTTTTGGGTCCTGTTTCCACACACATCGGCGCACCCCGCCGTGACAAATTGTTTGGCAAACACCTGCCATGCAGTTAATTATTGATTTTAATTTTTCCTGCCAAGGACAACAATTTGCTATGATATACTCATAAAGGAAGGATTCTTTCTATTCTTCCATTATCGCTTGATTATATTAATATTATACAGTTATTACACAATTATGTGTTTAAGTGATATAAATAAGATTTTTCAATTTGTGTGATTTTCAGTTAAAATGCACGAAAATAAAAAATAAAAAAAAATTGGATCATTTTATGCATTTTAATGTGTTTAAAACTGAACCCATGTCACGAAAGCTAAGTCTACTAAGAGAATAAACATGCTAGCTGAGACAGCCCCTACAAGCTGCCGTTTAGAGAAGTTTTTGGGAAAGAAACTGGGCAAAACACTAACCAGTGTTGATCATTCTCTACACAAAAGAGATTTTGTATTCAGGTTGCTGCTCACGAGAATGAAAAGGCTGATCATCGTCTCTGTGTCAGAGGACATTAACATGCAGCTTGGCAACAGCATGCATCTTTGCTTATTTGCTGCATGCATATGCTATTTCAGCTTTAGGCCAGTACTTCAGATATCTGACACGATCTCAAGTTGGCACTTGCCTTATTTTCTGTATGACCTTTATGCAGGAAAACCCCAGTTTGTGACTTGCCTATACATTAAGCAAATCCTACAATGGGAAATGTGTTGAAGTAAGAGGCTGAAACTGATGACACATAACATACTCTTGCAAAGAGAAGGATGTCCAGAAAGTCCAAATATCTCTTTGCCTGTATTTGTCCAAGCTCCTTCTCTTCCTTTAGTGCTTCTTGCCTCTTTCTTATAACTTCCTCTTTAGAAAAGAATATAAAATGTAAGCATTTGTAGATCTGACACTATAATGTGAGGCTCACTGATTTTTGGCAACGGTTCAGATGAATCAAAGCAAAGCTTACCTGTATGACTGAGGGTCACCTGACGTGCTTTTCTGTATCTGAAACCATGTGGGCTAAGGTGGAAAATGAGGTCACTGTGGTACGGAAACATTCTGAGCCGAAGGTTAATTAGAAAACTGAGGTCATAAACTGCTTTGATGTATGCATTTGTTCCACTGAAATGACAAAGGAGGCAAACATTAAATGCAGATTTACAACAACCAAAGACTCAACATAAAACTGACACTGTAAATGACTCTTTAAAAAGATTCATCTGGGCTCACCCCTCTGTCTGACAGTTGCTGTAGCAGCTGAAGGCACACTTCATAATGCTGTCCAGTGTCATGAGGCTCATGTGTTTAAACAATTCAAAAGGCTCATTTGTGCTTGCATAACTTTCCCACTTATCCTGCCAACAATGAGAGAACAGATGTGATCTCTCTGCAGGATACAGACACTGCTCCTGCTTTACTTCTATGATATTTACTGACACGTGCTGACCAACACATCACGACTTTGATTTTATTTATCAATTATGCAACTAAATTGTCTTCAACGTACCAACATAGTCTCAGCAGACTCTGACATCAATTTTACGTATGGTTTCAAAACATCATAATGGAAACCTGGTGTTAAGAGCCTCCTGTGGCGGAACCACTTCTGACCTTCTGACACCAACAACCCATTTCCTGAAGAACATGTGCATGAGTGAGGAAAGCAGCAAAACAAACAACTCTGTACTTTAACAAAATGCTGTAGAAGGGAGAAAAATGAGCCTTACCAATCCAACCCTCAATAAACCGGTAGCCCAAATCATCTTTTGGTTCTGTTAGGAAACAAAACAAATAAAAATGGTGTTAGGGACCTTTAACTTTACTACACAGTTATAAATGTGCATCAACACAACAACTACGTAAAACATTTCTCACACCTGATGATGTCAGGATAGTTTTTGCATAATCTGGATGCTGAATATTGATGACACTGACAAAGGGGCCAAACCAGATTGGGAAAACATATGAGTACTCCTGTCCCCATTTCACTACCTTGTCCATATCGGTCCCATCTTGTTTAAACTGAAAGAGAAAAAGTACAACTGAAACACATCACAGCAGGCAGACTTTACTCGTGTAAATTGTGTTGTTTGTCAACTGTGTGTCTCTGTTTGCAGAATGGTGTTCTCCAACATGGTGTGGTCAGCTTTACTGGACGGTTACACATGTTACAGCTGCTGCGAGTGTGTTGATACAGTTACCTCCAGAACATGTCCAAACAGCCAGTGTGGCGGCGGCCCCGGAAAAGCTTGGAAGTTCCGCAGTGCTTCCCTTCTTTTCGCAAGTAGAATTGTTAATTTATAAACCACGACAAAAACACAGAGCACAACAAAGACGTAATGCATGTGAGGCCAGCCCAGCTGAAACTCCGCGAAAGTTTTAGTTAGTTTCATCTCGCAGGTGCAAGTGTCTTCCGCCTCCGCGTGCAGGAAAACCTCCCCAACAAAGCGCAAAAGGTGATCTGAGCTCACCTTTCTGATAAGAGCTGGAGGAAAAGCGATGTTTTCAGTGCTGTCTCCGGTAGGCGGGGAATTTGACACCCAATAAAACGCTGACTTCATGTCCTGACGGAACTGTCGGCGTTTTGAGCGCAGGAGTGCAACAGCAACATCATTACGGCGGAAAATGAGAACTGGGATGATGAAGATGCAAATATGGGAAAATTAGAGTATGTAATTAAAAAGTAGATTATGAAGAAGTGCGGTTATTTACAAATTCTATCAAAAATAACTTTGTTTGTTAACCGAAATAATTTCTGCTCATGTAAAGTGAACATCACACGCAAAAATGTAGGTTTTCCTTTTGGCTATTCTGTTTGCCTGTCAAACACTTGTTCCTTCATGTAGTTACTAAATACTTTGAGGTTATTTTAAGAATTATGAACACAATAAAAATCCATTTAATTGACTTATGATTAAAAAACCTTACAAGCAAGGAAATCCTGGACAACGCCTCTAACTTTACATTGTTACATTGTATGTATGTAATTTTTTGTAATCTGAATCAATAATCCAGAGTACGTATCATACTTAATTCCCAAAGTGTAATTGTGTCAGTTGTTGTACTTGGCAGCCAATAAGTTGGTTACAAGTGCTTTGTGTGCACATGAAGTCCAAACTCCAGTGAGTTTAACCGTACGATAAACTGTCAAAACAGCTCAATCACAGTTTTGGTTCAACCCCCACAAACATTATCTCAGCATAAAATACAATGTGAGAACATATTTGGCATCTATATATTAGAAAAGAAACTGGTTTGCGATGCACATTTTGTGTCTTAACACCCATACTAAATGTAAGAAGCAAATCATATGCCAGACCACATCAGAAAAACAGTGTGGGTGACAACCTTGCTAAATTTCCTCTGTACTGGCTGTTGGACCACTTCCGATGTGTCAGGCTCATTTAAGCTGTTAAGCTCAATCTAAAACCTTTTGCTGAGAGGCAGAGTTTGTGATCTGTGTTTTTTATGAGCAGTAATGGTACAGCCAGGATGCTTCATGTTGGGTTTTATTTCTGCGGGGACAGGAATTTCTCCCATATGAAACAGAAAGGCTTCATTTTCATCTTTTTACTTGTTTGGAACTTCTCTACTTTCTCAGGAAACAGTGAGTATCTGATCAAATCATTACTTAACTAAATTCATTATTCAAATTGCTTAATTAAATACAATGTATTTAAAATACAATTGATGAACTGACTGTTGAATGTTTTATATTTTTTTCAAGTGACTGTTAATTTAAATGAGCAACGTGATATTTTGCGAGTCGCAACACAACTTAATTTTTCGCTGGGATGTCGAGCTGTGATACCGTGTCAGCATTACATCCATCGATCAGACTCTTTCAAATGGTTTTACAAGAAGGACCATAGCAGTAAGCAGGTTCAGTTATTCTTCCAAGATAAGAGGGGAATGCAATATCAACAAATATCCAATCCCAAATTGAGAATTGGATCCAATCATTCCTTGGTCATCAGCTCTTTTACCGAGGAGGATGAAGGTGTGTACTGGTGTGAAACTTGCCAAGAAACATGCCAAAAGTCCACTGACATCATAGTGAAGAAAGGTTTGTCCTGCTGTCATATTTTTTTCCGTTAAGGCAGAATCTACCTGTGCTTATGTAAAGATTTTTACATTCGTCAAAGATGATTCTCACAATCCTTTACCTCTCTTTTTTCAGAGACGTGGAAAGACGTCAATGAGACAGTTTACATTGTTGCTGGCAGCAGTTTTCAGCACACATGTTCAAGTAAACTTGATAAAATAAATTTTTGGACTTTTGAAGCAACGACTGCTGTTGGGAAATCAGAAGTAAGAGCAACAACAGACAATTTGACTTTCAACAAGTCTATATATATTGGAAATGTCAGAAGAGAAGATGCTGGGAAATATACCTGCTGGATGAGTAGCTGTGTCGGACACAGTATTAAGCGAGTCACTATCAATTTGTGTGTAGTTACAGGTGAGAAACTAACACACAAACATCATTGTTTCATGATAGAAGATAACCTGATGTAACCTTTTGATCTTTACTTACAGTATATGACAGTAAGGATTCATCTGCATCTTGCGCTGTGACGTGCGGCATGAAATCAAATAATCCAAACAGAACTTCAACTACATCTGTGCCTGTACATCCACACGGGTCCCTAAAGTGCAATATAGATTCAGTGTTTGATGGATACACTACAGTTGCTACCACTCACACATCATCATTTAGCACAAGAACAGGTGGGTGTTTAGCCATATGCTGTTTGTGAATCTTTTTCACCCGAATCAAAGAAATATTAATATTTAGCTTTTGGTTTAACAGGTTTTCAAAAAGAGCCTGAAGACTGGATCCCACTTATTTGTGGTATATCAGTATCATGTGTCATTTTAATGGCACTTACAATTTTTTGCTTCAAATCAAGATTACATTCAGGTAGGCTATGCAGCTGCGCCTCACTTCCACTTCCTGTGTACATTATTGTTTTTTTATTAAATGGTTTACTTGAAAAATTTTCCCCTCTGATTCTGAATATGCTTCTGCTTCTGTCTCACCAAAGCATTTCCTGTTCAAATTTGTTGCTGTGGCTTGAATAGCAGGGTAAGTGTCTGTGCTGACATCGAGGTGTATCCTAAAACCCTCATGCAGAAATGAAGTGTGTGCGTGTTGCTTTGTCTGGGTAATGAAATGTATTGCTTTTTACTGCAGGTGGAAGAAGAGTCTTCAGTGGTTTATTCATCAATTATCATCAGGACACCGGGCAAAAGAATTAATCACATGACCTCTAGTGATTGTGTTTATTGTGAAATAAAAGTATAGAGAAAAAAGTCCAGGATAAGTGCAGTTACTTTTATTTATATAGCACATTTTAAAACAATATGGATTGGTCCAAAGTGCTTTTCAGTTGACTGTTAAAATAGGTAAGGTCATTATCCTTGCTGTCATTTGATTTAGTAACTGATTCCTCAAATTACTTAAATTGTAACTTCACCCACACGCTTGTCAAGGGGAAAATCTGAAACCATGAGTCTTTTTTTCCAACAAAGGAATGATTTCTAATCGAATCTTTAACTTAACTTTTACCTAATTCTCTGAAGGCAGGGCGGGTGTTCTAAAGTACATGGATCGAGATAATTTTAATGAGAAGCTTTCAGTGTGATACAGATGTTATGTAACAACATTTTTTTGTTGTTGCTCAGTACAGAGGTGAGGTCCATTCATGAACTGCATGAAAGCACAGTTTCTGATTACCTTGCAGATCAAGTTAAGATAAAACAAATGTAGGTAAAGAAGTTCTTTAAAGTTGACATCAAAATGTTACGGCAATTAAATGCTGCTTTCACAAAGAGGAACGTTATTAGGTACATTAATTTACTCGAGCTCATCAATTGAAACAAATTTATAAACAATTTTTTTTGTTCTTAAAAGAAAAAAAATACTTTTTACGCTAAATTTATTTTACAGCTGTATTTTGTCTTGCAGTTTTAGGTTTTACATAATCACCATATAAAATATAACCGCAGTAAAAAAGCATCTAAGCAAAAGGTTGCATAAAGAAGGCTGTTAAAAGTGTTAAAACCACAGCAGTACTGCGTCTGCAGTGTTAATCAATAATGAGCATCAGTGATAGTAAAACAATAACACCCTGCAGACAAAAGGTTGTTGTACGATTATTACTGTGAGCAATATGTGTGTTCATACTTTGAGGACATTCTGCTGAGGATAGTCACTGAAAATAATATTTTGGATTATTTTATTTGTTAAAGTGTTTTATTCAAAGTAAAGTATACAAAAAAAGTGAAAACAATAGAAAAATAGTCTTAAGAAATAAACCAAAACTCACTAAATGTGTTGTTTAAAAAAGCAACAGACATTAAAGAAAATAAAGGAAATGTTTTAATTTTTGGTGTTTAGTCAAAGATGGAAACAAAGAGGAGGCTGTGGTGAAAATGACTGTGAGTCAAATGTGTTGTACTGTACTGTTTTACTTATATTTGACCTATGTCACTAATACCACCCACATCATAAAAACAAAAACTCAGACACAGAAACTAATAAAATGTAAACTTAACATTTAACAATTAAAAACCAAACTGAAATCAGAAAATCCACCCTGAAAACTAAAATAACATCAAATTCAAAGGTGGAAAATCCTAAACTAAAATAACAATGGCAGTGTTAATAGCAGTCATCTCCGCATAGCCTAAATTGAAAACAATTTGAGTACCTCACCCACTTTTTTTATACACAACACCAACCCACAGAGTCAGACAGGACATGACACACAGGACAAACCACTACATCACGATCTGTCATTGGTGGCGGTGTGCACAGCTCTAATGAAAACAAACCCAAATAAGGCAGCTGGCCCAAATAATATCCCCAGGCATGCACTCAGGGTCTGCTCATCAGAGCTGGATGGTGTATTCATAGACATGCAATCTGCCCATCCTTTAAGTCCATTACCAGTGTGCCCCTCTCTAAGAAACATACTGGTAGTGGATTTAAACGACTATCATCCTTTTGGACTCACACCAATCGTGATGAAGTATTTAGAAAGGATCAAAAAGACTGTCCTGGCTACCATGGACTCTTTACTTTATGCATGTGCGTGTAACACCACAGTGCATCAGTCTACTAGTGAGTCACGATTTGCTCTGATGTTTGGCTGAGATCCCCAGCTACCTGTTGAGTTTTTGTTGGGTAGGATTCAGGAGCCTGTGGTTGGTAGCACCCATCATTGGATTGCAGAGCATCAGACTCGGCTATGTCATGCTTTTGAACATGCTAATAAACGCTTGGAGGCTGCAGCTAATTGGCGTGTGACATGTCACAACCAGCATGTGAGGGATGCTCCCCTGCAAGAAGGTCAGTTGACTTACCTTAAAGAGGTTGGGCTTAGAGGCCGTCATAAAATTTAGGATGTCTGGAGTTCAGTGGTGTATCAAGTGCTACAGGCCCCAGACCAAAATGGATCAGTTTACACTGTTACTCTGTCGGATAACCTTAGTCACGTGAAACATGTCCACCGTTCACTACTAAAGAATAAGGTGGAGTATGTGACTACTTGTCCTCCCAGTGCTCCAATCCAACTATTAGAAACTATGCAAGGTGGTGAGTGGTTTTTATTGATTTATGAACCTACTCCAGCCCCAAGCAATTGCCAACAAAGACAGGAGACCCCTACTTCCTGCATACCAAGTGAGCCAAAACCCTCAACATCCTCTGTGGTGCTGGTCTGCACCGATCAGCTGCCAGTTACGGCTGGTGTTCAAAATAATATTGCTTCTTCACATAGGACTACTCGTGCTAATGCTGGGACGCACTCGAATCGGCATCATCTGCCCCAGGCAATAGGAAGTAGAACAACAGGGGCTGTGAACTCCCAGGCACCTGTGCCTAATATATCTACCCTGTTTAGACCTCAGCAGTGAGTGTCAATCGTTGGGATGACGATTCAAACCCCAGGGGTAGATTGCAGTGGGTTACATTTGGTGGATGTTGGTTCATACATGGTGTCTGTGAATGCAGCATGAACTTTCACCCCTCCGTTTGCTGTTAATCAGATGTTGGTTATGAGGGACATCAGTGGTCTATTCTTGAGCTCTCGCAACTTGCACTCATTACTGTTCAAGGTGGCAAAGCTCACAGGCTGTTAGGTATTAGAGACTGGATTCATTTCCCGTGACAATTGATGAATTTGTGTAACTATTAAAGGGTGGTAAGTGGGATCCTCATGGGTTATCTACAATTTAGTGTATGGTAGGGTGGACCCCAGATGACTTTTTTTCAATTCAATTCAATTCAATTTTTTTTTACATAGCGCCAAATCACAACAAAAGTCGCCTCAAGGCGCTTCATAGGTACAGAGAAAAACCCAACAATCATATGACCCCCAATGAGCAGGCACTATGGCGACAGTGGAAAGCAAAAACTCCCTTTTAACAGAAAGAAACCTCCGGCAGAACCAGGCTCAGGGAGGGGCCTGAGCCTGGGTCTGCTGCGACCGGTTGGGGTGAGAGAAGGAAAACAGGATAAAAGACATGCTGTGGAAGAGAGACAGAGGTTAATAACAGATATGATTCAATGCAGAGAGGTCTATTTACACATACTGAGTGAGAAAGGTGACTGGAAAGGAAAAACTCAATGCATCATGGGAATCCCTGGCAGCCAACGTCTATTGCAGCATAACTAAGGGAGGATTCAGGGTCACCTATATGCTTTAGCAAAAAGGAAAGTTTTAAGCCTAATCTTGAAAGTAGAGATAGTGTCTGTCTCCTGAATCCAAATTGGAAGCTGGTTCCACAGAAGAAGGGCCTGAAAACTGAAGGCTCTCCCTCCTATTCTACTTTTAAATACTCTAGGAACAACAAGCAGGCCTGCAGTGTGAGAGCGAAGGGTACTACAAGGTCATTAAGATAAGATGGGGCCTGATTATTTAAGACCTTGTATGTGAGGGGCAGGATTTTGAATTCAATTCTGGATTTAACAGGAAGCCAATGAAGGGAAGCCAAAACAGGAGAAATATGCTCTCTCTTTCTAGTCCCTGTCAGGACTCTTGCTGCATCATTTTGGATTAGCTGAAGGCTTTTCAGTGAGTTTTTAGGACTTCCTGATAATAATGAATTACAGTAGTCCAGGCTGGAAGTAATAAATGCATGAACTAGTTTTTCAGCATCACTCTGAAACAGGATATTTCTAATTTTAGAGATGTTGCGTAAATGGAAGAAAGCAGTCTTACATATTGGTTTAATATGTGCGTTGAAGGACCTGATGATGACCTCTTTATAACCAGAGGTGGGTCGAGTATCCAAAAATTGTACTCAAGTAAGAGTAGCATTACTTTAAAATATTATTACTCAAGTAAAAGTGAAAAGTAATCGTCAACAAAGTTACTTAAGTAAGAGTAAAAAAGTACTTGGCGAAAATCAAGTGTTTTAGGTACAGTAGCAGGGCTGCCCTGCTACCTAAAAAGGTTTTTTTTCTGCTCTACACTTTGAGTAGTTTTGTCCTTACTTTTGCTTGTTAATAACAAGCCTGTGGGCTTTTGTAACTGGTACAACATTTGCACTAGCTACTGTAATCTCTCCTGGGGTGTAACCCCCTCCCCGGGTGGCATTATCAACACCATTTAGTCACATTTACCGGTATTCTGCCTTCACACCACCACACATGGATACAGAATCAGTCCAATCATCTGTGAAAATGCTGTGAAATGACTGAAGCTGCATTTAATGCTGTCAGACTCTCTGAGAAGCTGCTGTTACTCAGACTCACACCCTTTCTCTGTAACTGAGCTCTGAACTTCCTGTAAGATAGGCCCCACTCAGTCAGAGTTGAAAACCAGACATCAAACATCAGAACTGTGAGCATTGGTATTACTCAGGGGCACGTGCTGAGTACACTGCCACATGCTGTCTTCACATATGAGTGTGTGTGTCACACAGTGGAAATTTGCATTTATCTTGTATATTGTTTTTATTCTGATTTTTAGTGTTTATTTATGAGTGTTTTATTTGCATGGTTTTATTCTGTTTCTATTGCATGGTTTTTAGTGTTTTATGTGACATGGTTGTTATCCACTGTGGCCTGGCTGCACATGGGACAAATTAGCTGATAGGGACCACCTGCTGAGGCAGGGGTGTGTCCAGAGGTGGCCTATCAGCTGTGTAAAGACCTTTTAAAAACAGGCTAGCTGGGCACTGAAAGAGAGAGGCCCCAGACTGGAAGGTTAATGCGAGATGGCCAGTGTGATGCGGCGACCAAGTCCTGACCTCATGGAACGGCAACAGTAAGAGACAACGTGTGTGATTGGCAGCAGGGCAGAGGTTTACCTCTGCCTGCATTTGTGAGTAGGGTCTCTACTGTTGTTTACTGGGTGCAGCTGGATTGGGAGAGGGTCACCATGGCCATGAGCCAGGGCTGCTTCTGGGACCATTGTTCTGGCCCCTATTTGTTATGTTGCAGGACACCGACGCAAGGGGAGCTGTGGCGGTGGTCGCATCATGGATTCGGGTGCAGAACGCAAGCCGGGCTGGGAAGTGATGGGCCAGCGGAAGGACAAGAAGATGGGTGGCTCTTTCTTGTCTGCTGAAGACGGGGCTGGCGTGGACTCTGCTCTAAAGGAGGAATTCCTGGCCTGCTGATGGACCCATAATGAACATGTGGCCTAATTATAGCAGGGGGGGTTTTAGTGAATGTAGAAAATGGTAGTTTTATGGGTTTTAGAATTGTTTTTAGTAGAGAGCAAACATTTTATTATGTACATTTTAAGGGTGTTTTATTTGTGCTCCCTGGCCTAGTAATAAACTGTTTCTGATCAGACCTGCTTCCTCTCTGTGCCCGTGGTATCTGACTCACTTGCTCCCCCTTGTATTTTAAAGAATCTTTCTTTTTAGCGTGACATTCTGGCGCGACCGCTTTAGTGTCCGCAGCGCGTTACATGTGCACCACCTGATCAATACCAGAATGATAACATTTGCATATGTGATTGGGCCGATTACTGGTAGGGACGGGATAGAGAAGTGATAGGACTGGTGGCCTGGTGTCAGGAAAATAATCTTGCCCTAAAAGTAGAGAAGGGCAAGAAGATCATTACTTATCTGAGGAAAAGACACTCCAATATCACACAGAGGTAGAGAGGCTGAAAGCCTTAAATTCATCAGGACACACATCTAACAGTTTCTCAAAGATGCTGACTCTCAGGTTACCAACAGAAACATCAAGGACTGTGACCTGGACGAGCTGGAGCCATTCACTTCCATTTTTTTTTTTTTGTTCTTTTACTTTGTTGTGTTCTCGAAGTCATCACACAAGTTCTGTTTTGGTCTGTCACAAGATGTGTCTACATCTGTTAAACTGGTAGCTGATAAGTAGAAGCATACTGATTGCAAAGAGGATTAAAATACATTTAGAGGACTTAGCATCTGAGGCTCAAAGTGGCAGGTCTGGTTATCTGAGTGATTCATTACGAAGATATGGTGGGTCATTGAGTTACGTTTTTGACGAATTTGATGTAAGGTTGTATTTTTTCTACAATTTCAATATTTTTTTTCACTCCTTTAGAATGTTGAAAATACTATTAAAGGAAAGCAAAACGTACTTTTCTGTCAAAACACAGGGCTGATTTCTATCATGAAATCATATAATACAAGTGTATTACTGACAGCAACCTTTTCATTCCATATATTAGACCAGCATCATATGAACTAAAGTGTCCTGCATTTTTCCCAACAAGCCACTAGGTGTTGGGTTGTGCACAAAGGTCAGCATTTTCGGTGACACTGGCTAAACACTTGCAGAAATTATTGCTATATATGTGGCATCACATGAAAGTGGAGCTTCAAGCTTCTAAACGTTCACATGTCGCTGATAAGCTATTTGCCCTGTCCAAACAGTATTCTGAACATATGTGCTCTTTGGCTTTTTCAAGTATATTACTTTAAAATGGTTTGCTGCCCTCACAGGTGTACTCTCACAGTTTTGTTCTGCTGGGCATTTAAATGAACTTTTGTGGCCAAGTTTGTGGCTAAATTGGCCAAGTTTCGGTGGACCATCAAATTGTGTTACATCTTATATTGTATAGTGGTTTGGATTTTTCTTTTTCAAATATGAACAGAACAGACGTAGTAGTAATTGAGAGGAGCTGTTTGGTGATTTGTAGAAAAGGTTCCTAGCTGGAATTGCAGATTAAATGCTGTGGTCTCAACGCAGCATGCATTCTGACCACAAGGCTGCCACATAACATTGTTGTTTCTTTTTGATGTGGTGCCTGGTCTGACATCGGCCAAAAAGTTAAACCAGTTGGCTTGAGTTTATTTCTTTATATGGTAGCGGCAGAAGATGCAATGCATTTTAGGAGTTTTCACAGGAAATTCAAGTGATCAGTTATTAGGATCTTAAATCAGCGAAAGGTTGGCAATCTGAGATAAAAGAAAGAGGACGTCATTTCATTTTTATCCAACCTGTGTTGGTGACTTTTTGTCGTTGTGGGTGTGTGGATTTTCTGGGTGGATTTTGTAATATAACTGTAAATAAAAGAGTACTTTTGTCTCGTGAACCTTTCTGGCCCTTCTTGATACTTTCACCCAGTTGTGTATGAACCTGCACATTGCAGAAGGGTATTATAGCGTGTCTTTGTGACACTTCTGCACATGTTTTAACGACTCTTGTTGTGAAATTGCTGAAGCACCTGGCCTGTCTAACAGCAGAGATAGGCAGTGAAACTGAAGTCGGGACTTAAGTGCAGCGGTCTCGCCCCACATATTCACTATCTCTGCCTTCTTAAAGCAAGATGGTGAATCAGATTTCTGGTTTGCAGAAGCATGTACACATGCTGTCTAACAGGCCTGCAGGAGACTGGCGCACAGTGTACAAAGGCGCACAAAGGTGTAAATAAAAATGGAAACCTTTTCACTTGCATTGAATGATAAGTGAATGATAACAGCATAATTATCTGGCTTCATCATGTGTTTTTGTCTTTTTTCGGGGCCAAGGAACACAAGGAAAGGACATTAGCCCAGTGGAAATCTGTGCTTCGCCAAGTTTGAGATCTTTGGTTCCACCTGCTGTGTCTTTGTGCGACACGGAAAAAGTGAACGGATGGTCTCGACATGCATGGTTCCCACCATGAAGCATGGATGAGGACGTGTGATGGTGTGGGAGGTGTTTTGCTGGTGACACTGTTGGGAATTTATTCAAAACTGGAGTCACACTGAACCATCATGGCTAACACAGCATTTTACAGCGACATGCATCCCATCCGGTTTGAGTTTAGTTGGAGCGTCATTTACAGGACAATGATCCCAAACACACCTCCAGGCTGTGTGAGGGCTAACTGGCAAAAAAGGAGAGTGGAGTGCTGTGCCAGATGGCCTGGCCTCTACGGTCACCTGACCTAAGCCCAATGGAGATGTTTTGGGATGAGGTGGACCGCAGAGTGCTCAGCAAAAGGGCCAACAAGTGCTCAGTATCTCTGGGAACTCCTTCAAGACTTTTGGAAAACCATTTCAGATGATGACCTCATAAAGGACCTTGGACCACTGGCCAACACTCCAGTCCTTCTTCTACTTGGCCCAGTTGAGACACTTCTGACTTTGGCTCAGGCTCATAAGGGGTTTGACCCGAGGAACCCAACAGTTGTAGCCCATCTCCCAGATGCGCCTGAATGTGGTGGTTTTTGGAGCTGTGACTCCTGCCTCATTCCAGTCTTTCTGGATCTCTGCCAGATTCTTGAATTTCCTCTGGCTGATAATCCACTGAAGGCCATGGTCATCTTGGTCATTTTGCCTGTCCACTAGACTTTCCATTGATATGCTTGGACACAGCACTCTGTGAGCAGCCAGCCTCCTTAGCTATGAACTTTTGTGGCTTACCCATCCAATGGAGGGTATCAATGATTCTCTTCTGGCCAGTTGTGAAGTCTGCAGTCTTCCCCATATTGAATCTAACTGGGGCAATTGAACCAAATTGAAGCAATTTGATGACACCTGGGAAAACCTGTAAAATTTGGGCTGATGTCTTCACAGTATTCTAATTCCTGATTTTGTGGGTTTTATGAACTGGATGCCCAAATTACATACAAAGAAACAACTAAGTACTTGAAATCGTTTCAGTTCTGGCCCTTTCAGTTGCAATTTATTTGTTTTCCAATGTTAACTTGTCATATTTTAGTAATACGTGAACATCTGTTATAGTTACGTTTTCATTTCATATATAACATCGGTTTGTTTTAAGTGTTTTTCTTCTGAATTTTCTGGAGTATAATGTGTAATGTTGATAATGCACAATGCAAGGTGCCACATGATTCATTACTGAAGAATGTAAAAAACAGTTTAAAATGGTTTTCATATCATTTATTTTGAAACTTTCCATTAAATGGTTTTCAAATTTAACTTTATGTGTTTCTTAGTTTGAGACTAGTTGGTTAGTCTATCCCCCCTCGTTTAGTTGACTAAGCAATTAATTGCCAGGAACATCCCTGGTGTGCAGATGATTTAGGTCGTGCTAATAAGAATGGTTATGTTACCACTGCCATTTCCAGCTGAGGGTTTTTTTTTCTTTAATCTGAGTGGAGATCTTGTCATTGAGAAACTGATACTGCGAACCTGAGCCACCACTAGGCAGAGATGGGAAGTAACGATGTACAAATACTTCATTACTGTGCTTAAGTAGAATTTTCAGGTATCTGAATTTGTGGTCATTTTTTTGACGGCTTTTTACTTTTACTGCTTACATTTTCACTGTGATGATGTCACTTTCATTGTGACATCATCATCCCATAAGCCAATGCAGGTTTCACAAGACATTTTTGAATGAGGACATATTTATGTATTTGTATTTGTAATCTCTGTTATTTTTGTAAGAAAAAAAACAACCCAAAATTGGGAAAATTATATACAATGTATTGTGACACATATTCTCTATGACAATTTCTCCCAAAAACATAAATTGCACGACAGAGTCCATGAATATATATATAAAAGCTTGTTACATAGTAGAAGTATTTCAAATCAACATAAATTATTTACTTTCTAAATACAGTAATTTTTAGCAGTTCTTGCAGTTAGTGCACTTTAGCTCTCTGCGTCTAAAGGTTTGATCTTGATGTGGATGCCATTGAGTGAGCGGAGAACCAGTTGGGGGATGATCTTGGGTTTCATAGTGGGCTCCGCTATGAGCTGGTATCGCTTCAGTGTCAGAGCTGTCACCACTTTCATCTCATTCATAGCAAAGTTCTGACCGATGCAGTTTCTGAGGGAGGAAAATATTAAATGTAAGAAATATACAAGTGAATATTCTAAAGAACTGAAAAATGATGAAAATAGTTTGATCCTTCTGAGATTAGGACATGAGGAATATGAATAGTAGGGATGAGTATAGTATGTTATTTTTTAACATTCAGGGCCAAAGGTGCTTGCATTTTAAATGGGATCAATCTTAGATTACAGTGAGTTCACCCTTTCCCCTACTTGCTTTAGCCCATCATAAAACCAGTTTTTATTGTGTTGATGTAAATGGGGTCAGTGCTAAGTTACACATTCACATACTTGAGACTACTGCAAGCAGTCTCTATACAGTGATATAGTTTCAGGTGAGGACAAACCTTGGCCCAGCTGAGAAGGGCACAAACGCATGAGGAGATCTCATGGCAATGTTCTCTGGTAGGAAACGCAGAGGATCAAAGACCTAATGTAATACAGGACAAAGAAAGAGAGCAGTGTTATGTCTATTACTTGTTTTCTGAACCTTATCACTCTTACCACTTGCGCAGAGAAAACTGCATTCTGACACACATAATATAGTAAGTCATTAAACCAGCTTGAATCTGTCCTGAGGTCCACTTTGGCACCAGGGACCTACCCACCTCAGCAAATACAGCACTAGTAATTAATTTAATGCACCAGTTTCATGATTGCTTCTTCAGTTATTTGATAAATTATTTGCAGCCTTTTGAGCAGAGTGCTGAAAAACTTCATAATTTTATTTCATCATAGATTCTGTTGATGATGTATTCCATGTAGTAAGTTGTGCTGGGAATAAAATTGTCTTTACTTACATTAGGGTTTTCCCAGACAGATGCATTCCTGTGAATTCCATACACACTTATTCCAACAACAGAACCTACATTTGAAAGAAATGTTTACTTAGTTTATTATTATTAAAAGATTATAGGGTGTGTCTAGCTGATCATTATCATACAAACTAAGCAAACATACACCATATCCTCCTATGGCATTCCTAAGCCCATGCTCACCGTTTTAGTTCTGGGAAGGAGAGAGACTTTGCTTTACTGAAGAAAGGACTGGATAGTGTTCTTGGGCCTCACAAGCACTTTTCTGAAGATTATAAATATCAGATCTTGCTCGATCACTTGAAGTTCCCAAGTGACTGGATCAAAGATAAGAATAAATGTTGGAGATGTGGCTGGAATCATTCTGCTGAAGGCACGCTTAAGAAACCCTGCAGCACTTGTGGTGAGCAACACCTCCTTGTATAACATGTCCTTGCCAAGGGTAAAGAACAAAATCCCAATATTCTGACCACGTGTACTGCATCCAGTGTCATCTATGTTGACCATCCCAGTCACTCCGGTATGGTGCCGTTGAAGGTGGTAAGAGTCAACTCCACAATGGGAAGAGGACCATGGACACCTTGCCGTGCTGGATGACGGTTCAGAGAGAACCATAAAATTGCCTGCTGCTGTGAAGTTCCTTGGCCTTGCCCAGACAGATGAGGTTCTGGCCCTACAAACCATTAGACAGGATGTCCTGCAGCTGAATGGGGGAAGCATATCATTGGAGGTGTCCACTAAAGGTAAGCCAAAGATGAGGCATCAAATACTGAATGATTTCACAGCAGAACAACTGGCTCTAGCTGAGCAATCCTGTCCAGTGGAAACACTCAAAAAGAAGTACAGCCACCTACAAAGACTTCCCTTCAAAGGTTTCAGCCGGGTGAAACCTATGATCCTGATTGGATCAGATCACCTGCACCTTCTCACTCCTGTTTGACTGGTGATCCGGGGACCACCTGGAGGGCCAGTAGCAGTCTGTACTGAGCTGGGGTGGGCGCTACAGGGACTCGCCAAAAGTCTACCACATCCAGCGGATGAACAGGCATGCTTATGCTCGTCTTTCATCACACAGACACCACAGCTCTACAAAAATATTGAAAGGCTGTGGCAAATTGATGTCCTCTCTTTCAGAAATGAAAAGGAGGTCACTAGGTCAAAGGAGGACCAGTAGGAAATAGATATCCTTGAATCAAAGAACGGGTACAGTTAGCTACTCCATTGCTTCGCTGCAAAGACTTTCCTCAGGTGAAGGCACCTCAAGAGGCTGTCATGGCTCTTCAAAGAGCCAATAAGCATCAACTATGCAAGGACCCCAGCAGAGCACAGACATACAACCAGGAGTTCAAGACAGTGGAGAAGGCTGGCAATTTGGTAAAGTTGACTCCAGAGGAGGTGAATGGTTCAACTAAATCCTGGTACATTCCACGCCATCTTGTGCATCACAACAACAAAACCTGCCTAGTCTTCAACTGCACCTGCCAGGCCCCATGCTACAGCGTGGGGCCTGCTGCCAGGTCCCACGCTTAGCCCTTTGTTCCTTGGCGTGTTACTCCGATTCCGCCAGCATGCGGTGGCCATAAGCTGGGATATAAAGGCCATGTTCCATCAGGTATGTTTGCTTTCCAAAGATCAGCCTCTGCTTCGCTTTCTTTGGAGGGATGGACAACAGGAGGATCCACCTAATGTGTATGAATGGTGACTGTTACCATTTGGCATGACCTGCAGCCTTTGCTGCACCACTTATGCTTTACAGCAGCATGTGCAACACCACCGTGAGGGGGAATGAAGATGTATACGAATCTGTCCACACTGCCATTTGTGTGTCCATGTGGACAACTGTCTCCAGTCGCTTCTGACTCCACACCAAGCTAAACAACTCCTGGACAAAACAAGGCAACTACTGGGCATGGGAGGATTTGAAATACTGCAGTGGGCCAGTAATGTGCCAAAGGAGGTGTCCTACCTGCCTACTACTGCCCGTTCTGACAGCTGTGAGCTCTGGCTGACTTCTTACCAAGCTGACCCACAAGAGTCGATGCTTGGATTATGTTGGCATTGCCCCACTGATACCTTGCCCACAGCACCAACTCTTCGCAATGCGTACAAGGTGTTTGCTAGCCAATATGACCCTGTAGGGTTTCTCCTTCCCTATACCACTAGAGGGAAGATTCTTGTACAGTCTATGTGGCTGGGATGAACCTGTCACCTGTGTCCTTTGTGCCGCCTGGGTAGAATGGAAGAAGGAGCTACCATACTTGCAGAGCATTACCATACCAAGGTGTTATATGCCACCTGTTAGTCAGTGCTGCTCTCACTGGAGCGCAGCTTGCTAAGATTCTCCAAACCTAGCTTACTCTACCGCTGCAAAATACTATCTTGTGGACTGACTCTACTACTGTGCTGAGTTGGTTGCAGTCTGATTTCTGCCATTACAAGGTCTTTGTCGGGACTTGAATTGCTGAAATCCAGGAGATCACTGGTTCTCACCAGTGGAGGTATGTCATGTCAGTGGAAAACCTGGCTGATGACATCACAAGGGGGAAGGGACTCTGTAGTCTTTCATCAGCCAGCCATTGGGCTCAGGGCCCCCAGTTTATACAACAAAGTTCAGTGCACTGGTCCTACTGGTAGGGCTGAGACTTCAGATGAGGGGTTGTTATGTGGCCTTGTCACAGTGGCAAAGTCTCTTACTCCAGCCCCAGGAACTTCACATCTTGGGAGGAGCTTGTGAAAGCCACTTACCATGCTCATCACGGGGCAGCTTCTCCTCCAATGACTGCCACTGATCGTGTGGAAGCAGAGATAGCCATCTTAAAGTCAGCTCAATATGTTTCCCTGAAGATGTGATGGCCCTGATGAAGGGAAAACTTAGCCCTTTGCTCCTTGGCATGTTACTCCGATTCCGCCAGCATGCGCCATAAGCTGGGATATAAAGGCCATGTTCCATCAGGTACGTTTGCTTTCCAAAGATCAGCCTCTGCTTCGCTTTCTTTGGAGGGATGGACAACAGGAGGATCCACCTAATGTGTATGAATGGTGACTGTTACCATTTGGCATGACCTGCAGCCTTTGCTGCACCACTTATGCTTTACAGCAGCATGTGCAACACCACCGTGAGGGGGAATGAAGATGTATACGAATCTGTCCACACTGCCATTTGTGTGTCCATGTGGACAACTGTCTCCAGTCGTTTCTGACTCCACACCAAGCTAAACAACTCCTGGACAAAACAAGGCAACTACTGGGCATGGGAGGATTTGAAATACTGCAGTGGGCCAGTAATGTGCCAAAGGAGGTGTCCTACCTGCCTACTACTGCCCGTTCTGACAGCTGTGAGCTCTGGCTGACTTCTTACCAAGCTGACCCACAAGAGTCGATGCTTGGATTATGTTGGCATTGCCCCACTGATACCTTGCCCACAGCACCAACTCTTCGCAATGCGTACAAGGTGTTTGCTAGCCAAAACCTCTGTCCCCAAATAGTCAACTTTGTTCGCCCTGCCTTCAATATGATCCGCTTACTGGCCTAATAAGGGTTGGATGTCACCTGAGATGTGCTGAAGGTCTGGACTCAGACACCATACACCCTACTGTGCTACCTCCCGAACACCCACTAACTAAGCTCCTTGTCCAGTACTTTGATGTGATTTTGTTGCACCCTAGTCCAGAGCATGTCTTTGCAGAGATAGGGCGCACTTATTGGATCATCAGAGGTTGACAAGTAATCTGGAGACATCAAAGACAATGTGTAGACTGCCAGAAATTCTCACCAAAATGGCCGATTTGCCCACAGGAAGACTCCAGATCCACAAACCTGCTTTCTGGTCAACTGGAGTTGATTGCTTTGGTTCCTACACGATCAAGATAGGCCGGAGGCATGAGAAGCGCTGGGGCTAAAAAATGTCATTTCTGTGGCCCATATTGGGTAGTACTTTAATAAATGTGATTGCTCTTAAGAAGCAGTATCAGGTTGATGCACTGCCTTAGCAAATTTGTTGTGGAGGAATTTGTGGCCAGCTTTATTACCGTTTAATCTTTATTCATGTTCTACTGTATTTCCTGTTCTTGATCGCAGAAACAACACCATATCACCCCTCCACATCCTCCTATACCATGCCATATCTCCTTGTACCTAAATAAACTCCACCTCTTACAATCTACTCCCTGGATGTCAGCCTCTCCTTCTGACCAAGGATAACTATTGTAGCAAAAACCAACATTAAACTGATGTGCACCATTCTGTACAGTGAGGTTGCAGAGTGCATAAAAATCTCCAACGCTCTGCTGACTCAGTAACTGCAGAGCTCTAAACCTCCTCTGGCATCAACATCAGCACAAAAACTGTGTGCCTGGAGCTTCATGGCTCATGGATTCCCATGGCTGAGCAGTTCCAGTGAGTGTAATGTGTAGGCGGCGGTGTACTTTCTGCCCATATAATGTATATGATAATAATCTGGTGCCAACATTTAAATACTTCAATTTGGAAGAATGAAGAACTGACAAAGCAATTACGCCACACGTTTAAGAGATTTATACTAGTTTATAGAAAAGAAACTCTATGTGACAATACAATCAAATAATACCAACGTATCCTTGTAGAATAATAAAGTAATAAGTATTAAGTCGATATAGGTCCTTTATGGAAATGTAAAAAAATTTAATTTTTGTATCTAAAGAAAAACAACGTCGGTTAAGAGTTTGTGTTTACCATGTAGCATGAAATGTTTCCAAAAGCATTATTAAGTGAAGACATTTAATGTTTACTCTTTGATAATAACAACAGAGTAAAATCACTGACCTGCAGGCACTGTTCTCCCATCACAAAAGGTTACAGTTTTGGTGGTTTTTCTGGAAATTCCTGGTACAGGGGGGTAAAGGCGGAGAGCTTCTTTTATGCACATTGTAGTGTATGGGATTTTACTGAGATCCTCCCTTAAAATGAGACCAACATGCAGTGTTAGTGAAGTCAACTAATAAGAAATCTTGTTTATATGTCTCCTAATAAAGTTTTGGTACCACAGAATGGCACCAACTTGTTTCCCTATTGCAATGTTGTCCTTTCACAAGCCTACCACTCCATGGTTTCCTTGTCATGCAAGGCCTCCATAATCTCCTTCCTGCAAATCTTCTGATGTTCTGGGTTGCAGGCCAGACAGTAGAGGATGAAAGACAGGCCACTGGCTGTGGTGTCATGGCCCTCAAACATGAAGGTGTCCACTTCTGCCCGCATATCTTCATCTGACAGACCCTGCTGGTTCTCATCCTGGCGTTGAAATAAAGGATATTTACAGTTGATAAAAGACAGAATGGACTGCACTATACTCTAACTGGGCTTCTCAATAAAAGTGCTTTGTTACTTTTGCTGCTCAGGCTGATTATATTACTGCATCACCCGACTTCAACTCAGCTTTAGCTGGATAACATTCATCCTTATACAGATACCTTTATAAAATTGGGGATTTATTCAGCAGCCAAGTATCAAGGTCCGCTGTTCTTCTTAAACCATATAAAGCACTAATTGTTTGTTTTTTAAGCAAACACCTGCCATGCAGTTAATTATTGATTTTAATTTTTCCTGCCAAGGACAACAATTTGCAATGATATACTCATAAAGGAAGCCAAGTCTACTAAGAGAATAAACATGCTAGCTGAGACAGCCCCTACAAGCTGCCGTTTAGAGAAGTTTTTGGGAAAGAAACTGGGCAAAACACTAACCAGTGTTGATCATTCTCTACACAAAAGAGATTTTGTATTCAGGTTGCTGCTCACGAGAATGAAAAGGCTGATCATCGTCTTTGTGTCAGAGGACATTAACATGCAGCTTGGCAACAGCATGCATCTTTGCTTATTTGCTGCATGCATATGCTATTTCAGCTTTAGGCCAGTACTTCAGATATCTGACACGATCTCAAGTTGGCACTTGCCTTATTTTCTGTATGACCTTTATGCAGGAAAACCCCAGTTTGTGACTTGCCTATACATTAAGCAAATCCTACAATGGGAAATGTGTTGAAGTAAGAGGCTGAAACTGATGACACATAACATACTCTTGCAAAGAGAAGGATGTCCAGAAAGTCCAAATATCTCTTTGCCTGTATTTGTCCAAGCTCCTTCTCTTCCTTTAGTGCTTCTTGCCTCTTTCTTATAACTTCCTCTTTAGAAAAGAATATAAAATGTAAGCATTTGTAGATCTGACACTATAATGTGAGGCTCACTGATTTTTGGCAACGGTTCAGATGAATCAAAGCAAAGCTTACCTGTATGACTGAGGGTCACCTGACGTGCTTTTCTGTATCTGAAACCATGTGGGCTAAGGTGGAAAATGAGGTCACTGTGGTACGGAAACATTCTGAGCCGAAGATCAATTAGAAAACTGAGGTCATAAACTGCTTTGATGTATGCATTTGTTCCACTGAAATGACAAAGGAGGCAAACATTAAATGCAGATTTACAACAACCAAAGACTCAACATAAAACTGACACTGTAAATGACTCTTTAAAAAGATTCATCTGGGCTCACCCCTCTTTCTGACAGTTGCTGTAGCAGCTGAAGGCACACTTCATAATGCTGTCCAGTGTCATGAGGCTCATGTGTTTAAACAATTCAAAAGGCTCATTTGTGCTTGCATAACTTTCCCACTTATCCTGCCAACAATGAGAGAACAGATGTGATCTCTCTGCAGGATACAGACACTGCTCCTGCTTTACTTCTATTTACTGACACGTGCTGACTTTGATTTTATTTATCAATTATGCAACTAAATTGTCTTTAACGTACCAACATAGTCTCAGCAGACTCTGACATCAATTTTACGTATGGTTTCAAAACATCATAATGGAAACCTGGTGTTAAGAGCCTCCTGTGGCGGAACCACTTCTGACCTTCTGACACCAACAACCCATTTCCTGAAGAACATGTCCACGGGTGAGGAAAGCAGCAAAACAAACAACTCTGCACTTGAAATGCTGTTGAAGGGAGACAAATGAGTCTTACCAATCCAACCCTCAATAAACCGGTAGACAAAATCATCTTTTGGTTCTGTTAGGAAACATAACAAATAAAAATGGTGTTAGGGACTTTTAACTTTACTACACAGTTATAAATGTGCATCAACACAACAACTACTTAAAACATTTCTCACACCTGATGATGTCAGGATAGTTTTTGCATAATCTGGATGCTGAATAATGATGATACTGAGAAAGGGGCCAAACCAGATTGGGAAAACATATGAGTACTCCTGTCCCCATTTCACTACCTTGTCCATATCGGTCCCATCTTGTTTAAACTGAAAGAGAAAAAGTACAACTGAAACACATCACAGCAGGCAGACTTTACTCGTGTAAATTGTGTTGTTTGTCAACTGTGTGTCTCTGTTTGCAGAATGGTGTTCTCCAACATGGTGTGGTCAGCTTTACTGGACGGTTACAGATGTTACAGCTGCTGCGAGTGTGTTGATACAGTTACCTCCAGAACATGTCCAAACAGCCAGTGTGGCGGCGGCCCCGGAAAAGCTTGGAAGTTCCGCAGTGCTTCCCTTCTTTTCGCAAGTAGAATTGTTAATTTATAAACCACGACAAAAACACAGAGCACAACAAAGACGTAATGCATGTGAGGCCAGCCCAGCTGAAACTCCGCGAAAGTTTTAGTTAGTTTCATCTCGCAGGTGCAAGTGTCTTCCGCCTCCGCGTGCAGGAAAACCTCCCCAACAAAGCGCAAAAGGTGATCTGAGCTCACCTTTCTGATAAGAGCTGGAGGAAAAGCGATGTTTTCAGTGCTGTCTCCGGTAGGCGGGGAGTCTGACACCCAATAAAACGCTGACTTCATGTCCTGACGGAACTGTCGGCGTTTTGAGCGCAGGAGTGCAACAGCAACATCATTACGGCGGAAAATGAGAACTGGGATGATGAAGATGCAAATATGGGAAGAGCAGAAAAGTAGGTTTTCCTTTTGGCTATTCTGTTTGCCTTAATTCCCAAAGTGTAATTGTGTCAGTTGTTGTACTTTGCAGCCAATAAGTTGGTTACAAGTGCTTTGTGTGCACATGAAGTCCAAACTCCAGTGAGTTTAACCGTACAATAAACTGTACAAACAGCTCAATCACAGTTTGGTTCAACCCTCACAAACATTATCTCAGCATAAAATACAATGTGAGAACATATTTGGCATCTATATATTAAAAAAGAAACTGGTTTGCGATGCACATTTTGTGTCTTAACACCCATACTAAATGTAAGAAGCAAATCATATGCCAGACCACATCAGAAAAACAGTGTGGGTGACAACCTTGCTAAATTTCCTCTGTACTGGCTGTTGGACCACTTCCGATGTGTCAGGCTCATTTAAACTGTTAAGCTCAATCTAAACCCTTTTGCTGAGAGGCAGAGTTTGTGATCTGTGTTTTTTTATGAGCAGTAATGGTACAGCCAGGATGCTTCATGTTCCACCCTGAAAACTAAAATAACATCAAAATCAAAGGTGGAAAATCCTAAATTAAAATAACAGTGGCAATTGTGATGAAGTGTTTTGAAAGGATCAAAAAGACTGTCCTGGCTAGCGTGGACTCTTTACTTTATGCATATGCGTATAACATGTAACACCAGTGCATCAGTCTACTGGTGAGTCACCATTTGCTCTGATGTTTGACTGAGATCCCCAGCTACCTGTTGAGTTTTTGTTGTGTAGGATTCAGGAGCCTGTGGCCCCTACCTCCTGCATACCAAGTGAGCCAAAAAGCTCAACGTCCTCTGTGGTGCTGGTCTGCACCGATCAGCTGCCAGTTACGGCTGGTGTTCAAAACAATATTGCTTCTTCACATAGGACTACTTGTGCTAATGCTGGAACGCACTCGAATCGACATTATCTGCCCCAGGCAATAGGAAGTAGAACAACAGGGGCTGTGAACTCCCAGGCACCTGTGCCTAATATATCTACCCTGTTTAGACCTCGGCAGTGAGTGTCAATCGTCGGGACAACGATTCAAACACCAGGGGTAGATTGTAGTGGGTTACATTTAGTTCATGTTGTTTCATACATGGTGTCTGTGAACACAGCATGAACATTCACCCCTTCCTTTGCTGTTAATCAAGAGTCGGTTATAAGGAACATCTGTGGTCTATTCTTGACCTCTCGCAACTTGCACTCATTACTGTTCAAGGTGGCAAAGCTCACAAGCTGTTAGGTATTACAGACTGGATTCATTTCCCGTGACAATTGATGATTTTGTGTAACTGTTAAAGGGTGGTAAGTGGGATCCTCATGGGTTATCTACAATTTAGTGTATAGTAGGGTGGACCCCAGATGACAGTTTTCCCTCTTTTGTTACAGGCCTCACACTGCTGCTGTCTTGTTCTAGCCTTGTTGTAGTTTTACTATTGTTAATCAAAAATCAAATCGAATCAAAATTTATTTATGTAGCACATATTGAAAACAACAAAGTTGACCATAGTGCTTCACAGTCAGTAAAAGCATATAAACTGACATTGACTGGTTCCTTGTTTTATGGTATTTTACACATCAAGAAATGGGTAAATTGCACCTTTCAGATTGGAGTGAGGTTTGCAGTGAGACTACACGGGTGAGTAATTGGTGGCACTCCCCCTGTAGGTTGCCTCCCCAAGTGGGCGGTCACCACCATTTCGTTTCATTATTTTATTTTTACTTTATTAACTAACTCGGCTAGCACTGTGTCAGCGAACCTTGTCCTTTTAAATAATGTTTATTAATAAAGTGTTTTAAAGAACAAGGTAGCAGGGCTGCCCTGCTACCTAAAATGTTTTTTTTCTGCTCTACACTTTGAGTAGTTTTGTCCTTACTTTTGCTTGTTAATAACAAGCCTGTGGGCTTTTGTAACTGGTACAACATTTGCACTAGCTACTGTAATCTCTCCTGGGGTGTAACCCCCTCCCTGGGTGGCATTATCAACACCATTTAGTCACATTTACCGGTATTCTGCCTTCACACCACCACACATGGATACAGAATCAGTCCAATCATCTGTGAAAATGCTGTGAAATGACTGAAGCTGCATTTAATGCTGTCAGACTCTCTGAGAAGCTGCTGCTGTTACTCAGACTCACACCCTTTCTCTGTAACTGAGCTCTGAACTTCCTGTAAGATAGACCCCACTCAGTCAGAGTTGAAAACCAGACATCAAACATCAGAACTGTGAGCATTGGTATTACTCAGGGGCACGTGCTGAGTACACTGCCACATGCTGTCTTCACATATATGAGTGTGTGCACCACCTGATCAATACCAGAATTATAACATTTGCATATGTGATTGGGCCGATTACTGGTAGGGACGGGATAGAGAAGTGATAGGACTGGTGGCCCGGTGTCAGGAAAATAATCTTGCCCTAAAAGTAGAGAAGGGCAAGAATATCATTACTTATCTGAGGAAAAGACACTCCAATATACATCAGTCACACAGAGGTAGAGAGGCTGAAAGCCTTAAATTCATCAGGACACACATCTAACAGTTTCTCAAAGATGCTGACTCTCAGGTTACCAACAGAAACATCAAGGACTGTGACCTGGACGAGATGGAGCCATTCACTTCCATTTTTAAAAAAATTGTTTTTGTTCTTTTACTTTGTTGTGTTCTCGATGTCATCACACAAGTTCTGTTTTGGTCTGTCACAAGATGTGTCTACATCTGTTAAACTGGTAGCTGATAAGTAGAAGCATACTGATTGCAAAGAGGATTAAAATACATTTAGAGGACTTAGCATCTGAGGCTCAAAGTGGCAGGTGTGGTTATCTGAGTGATTCATTACGAAGATATGGTGGGTCATTGAGTTATGTTTTTGACGAATTTGATGTAAGGTTGTATTTTTTCTACAATTTCAATATTTTTTTTCACTCCTTTAGAATGTTGAAAATACTATTAAAGGAAAGCAAAACGTACTTTTCTGTCAAAACACAGGGCTGATTTCTATCATGAAATCATATAATACAAGTGTATTACTGACAGCAACCTTTTCATTCCATATATTAGACCAGCATCATATGAACCTAAGTGTCTTGCATTTATTCCGACAAGCCACTAGGTGGTGGCTTGTGCACAAAGGTCAGCATCCTGGCTACACACTTACATCGTTTTCCATATTGTGCTAAGCATATGTGGCATCACATGAAAGTTTTGCTTCAAGCTTCTAAAATTTCACAGTATTCTGATCATATGTGTTCTTTGGTTTTTCAAGTATATTACTTTTAAAAGGTTTGTTGCCCACTTTACCACCACAGGTGTACTGTCACAGTTTTTTTCTGCTCGGCATTTAAGTGAACTTTTGCTAAGCACTAACAGAATACAGCTGAGTATACACTAGCACAAGAACAAATACCAACTTAAAAGGCAAAATAAAAGGTTAGTAAAAAGAGAATTAGGATTTAAACTATTCTAAATGTCATGTAGCATGTTAGCATCTCTCACATGAAACAGTACAGTGCAGTTTATACAACGTATTACTGTTTTGAACAAATCCAGCAATGGTTATAAGTTCTCTGTGTCAAACAGGTAATCAGCTGGCTGTAGCTGGTTAATAAAGACTGTGGCCATGTTTAAGTCCACCATTAAATTGTGTTATATCTTATATAGTATAGTGGTTTGGATTTTTCTCTTTCAAATGTGGACAGAACAGACGTAGTAGTAATTGAGAGGAGAGGGTAAGTGATTTGTAGCAAAGGTTCCTAGCTGGAATCGCAGATTAAATGCTGTGGTCTCAACGCAATATGCATTCTGACCACAAGGCTGCCACATAACATTGTTGTTTCTTTTTGATGTGGTGCCTGGTCTGACATCGGCCAAAAAGTCAAGTCAAGTCGGCTTGAGGTTATTTCTGCATGAGGCAGCGACAGAAGATGCAATGCATTTTGGGAGTTTTCACAGGAAATTCAAGTGATCAGTTATTAGGATCTTAAATCAGCGAAAGGTTGGCAATCTGAGATAAAAGAAAGAGGACGTCATTTCATTTTTATACAACCTGTACTGGTGACTTTTTGTCCTTGTGGGTGTGTGGATTTTGTAATATGACTGTAAATAAAAGAGTACTTTTGACTCATGAGCCTTTCTGGCCCTTCTTGATACTTTCACCCATCGTGCATGAATTGCAGAAGGGGATTTTAGCGTGTCTTTGTGACACTTCTGCACACGCTTTAACGACTCTTGTTGTGAATTTGCTCCAGCACCTGGCCTGTCTAACAGCAGAGATAGGCAGTGAAGCTAAAGTCTCGCCCCCCATATTCACTTGCATCTCTGCCTACCTAAAGCAAGATGGTGAACCAGGTTTCTGGTTTGCAGAAATATGTACACTTGCTGTCTAACAGGCCTGCAGGAGACTGGTGCACAAAAGGTGTAAATGAAAACAGAAACTTTTTCAATTGAACTGAATGATAAGTGTGCTCCGCTTGTTGCTGGAACAGCATAATTCTCTGTCTTTATCGTGTGTTTTTGACACTTAAGGGAAGCCATTGCTTAGTTTCTCACCCTTTTGACATAAAAGATATATAAAATTGCTTTGTCTCAGCTTCTGCAGGATCTGTTAAGAATCCTGTTGCAGATAGACTTTAACAAATTCTGAGACTTCTTTACTTCAAATGTTGTCTTATAGGTGCTTGCTTAAAAACTTATCAGATGGTTGTGCCAACTTAACCTTTTAAAGATCTCCTGAAGCTCCCATTTAGTTATTAGTTTGCAGTTTTCTGACCTGCATTCAGTAACTGATGAAATGTGAAACTACTCCCTCCTAACTTTGAAACTGTTGTGGTTTACAGTATCTTTGACTTAAGCCGTCTCTGTTATTGGTTACTGATTACCAACCAGTCATGTCTTTTTGAATGTGTTGGTAATGTACACCACCAGGCAAAAGTTTGGACAACCCTTCTCATTTAATGTTTTTTCTTT